ATGGTAGAGATGAACGTAAGGTGAGTGCTGTGGAAGTGATCGAATATGACATACAGTGGGGTGAGGGCAGTTTGAAGTTAGAAGTCAACTACCGGTTTTTAGACCACGTGGAGGTAAGTCTATCGCACACCCCATGTGCTATAATATTATTTATTTATTATTAGCTGCACATAATAAAGGGCGTTTTAGAAGATGAAAGCTTATCGCAACAAAATTAATTCATATAAATTGCAAGATATTCACATTTTTTCCCAAACCAAATTGGTGCAAAAGGCAGACATTGGTCTAATTTGAAAGATTTATTTATTTATATCAAATGGCAGGCGTTCTGATAGTTATCATTAGCCCTTTAGTTGACTTCAGGCTTCACAGAGGGGAAGGAACATCAAAGTGGAAAAAAGTCGAGAAGGGGGGGGGGACAGAAGAGTGCTTCAAAGACGAAGGTAGAAAAAAGGGTGAGGTGAGTACTGTGAAAGTAGTCGAATATGGCATACAGTGGGATCATGTCAGTTTGAAGTCAGAGGTCAACTGCCCATTAATAGACTTTGTTGCCGTATGAATATACTTTGCCCAGGGTGCACCACGTGGAGGTAAGTCTATCGCACACCCCTAATTTGAAAGATAAACACCCCAAATATGTTTTTTATGAAATAGTTCAAAGTGCAAAACTTGCAAGTTCTCCCTATCCAAAATTGTGTTTTAGCTCGATTTTAGCAAGAATGAAACAAATGTTTTGCTAATTGAATAATTCCTAATATATTTTTTAAAAATGTATATATATATATATATATATATGTGTGATTTTGCTATTTGGTTAAATTTACCGCCCAGCAACGAGTGAATTTAAAACAAATACGTGCCTTGCGTACATTTTAGAAAATCGAAAAAAGCTGCCATTGAAAAAGCCGAACACGACAGCGCCTTCACAAAGTCTAAAATTCGACAAAAATGCAAACAACTTAAACTTCTTCAACCAGCAGGATCTGAAGCCAATAAAGTAAGACCTCCTTTATTCACACTTACTATTTGATTATTATGATTATTGCTGGTGCTGTTTTGTTGACACAGAATTTTCTAGAGTGATTTTAGTCACGAGGGGAGCGTTGTTGAAATAAATTTGGAAGGAGTTGAAAAGTCGAGGAGAATGTAATCAAGTTTTCTAGCCAGTCTAGCTCAACTTGAGTGCTATTTTCATTAGACCTTCCATCTTTATTTATACAAGGCGCCCCAAGTACTTTGAGGCTGGGTTCGTGATTTTCGCTAAGGTTGAGTCAAGTCCCGGTGAACTTGTACCACTCAATAAGAGAAAATCTAATGAAGCAACAATACTTTACGCACGAGAATTCTACTCCCTCCCTTTTGAAACCGTCATGATGTCACAAAATATAGCCATACATTATTCATGTCAAATAAATCATTCTCTTATGAGAACTTTATTCCATGGCAGAGCAACGCCCTACATTGGTTTGAATTATTGATCAGAAATATTACATTCTCCAGAACTTTACTTGATCTATGTCATTAATCGATTCTAGTCCCTTGTTTATTCACATAACCCAGTTGATTTATGGCCTTATGGGATTTCCACGTATGCAATGTATATATACATATTTCTCAAATTTTATGTAAAACAGAGTTATTGAACTGCTTTTCTCAAGAATGTATGGCACAATTACAGTGTAATTTGTCATTAATTGGTCACAATTAATGTTTGTAATATTTTCTCTCTTAAAGAATCAGACTAATGTGCCCCAGTAATATAACTTTAGAATATGCTGCAACTTGCTACTTGCATGTGTTTAATTACTTATTACCAGGATGATTGACGTGTAAGAGTGTTTGAGTGTATGCGAAGTGTCACCTATGCGTCTCTGAGTGCACACCCGGTTATACGCATTCCTGTAATATATGATTTATTCAATCCTCTGCGACGTCTATCCTACCCTCTTTGAACCGTGAAATGCTGATATCACCTCTAAGTTAAATGTTGAAGGGTTAAATGTCAATTTGTTGACCTCAACTTTGGTGCACCTCAAAATGCTAGAGTCTAGTAAAAGCAAAAATTAAAAAACACCTTCGATTTCCTATGCTAAGAAGCTTTGAAAATGAAGGGAAGGATTTGAAATTTTCTTAATAATCACTTTTGACTTACCGCAATTCAAACAAACTCGAATGTGATGTCGCGCTGACGATGCCTTCGGAATTGCAAGCACAGTACCACTTTGCTCAACTTACCTTCGCAGGGGCTCTGCTTCGGATCAAAAATAAATGAGAATCACCCTTCATAGTGTCGAATAATGCTTCTTGTTGAATAATGTGGGGTGGGGGGGGGGGGAATTCATCGAAGACACTTTAGCCAATGAACGTCTAGACAATTGGTAAATCTTTCAAACATTTCTAACAAATTACTATAATATATGTAAACATTCTAAAATACTATTTTCTCGCAGAAACTCCAAAAACTGGATGATTTAAACCATCGCCTTTCTGCGGTATCTAAGCGGTATGGCCCAAACACAACTTGAACTAAACTCACCTCGCACCCTCTCCCCTCTCATATAACGCACTGCCTTAGTCATGAAATTGTAACTAAAAAAAGAAAAAATATATCAATTTTTAATCCTTTCTTAATCCCACCAAATAGGCTCGAGTTTGCTGAAAATTTGGATCGTCGAACGCAGGATGTGTTATCTCGACAGGAGTTGCGAGTCGAAAATGCGAAATCCAAGTTCAGACGAGTTAAAGAACTGGTATGTCGTGCTTATTATTATTATCTAACTCTATTCGTTGATCATATTACTATTTTTTATTTAAGTGCATGACAGCACCTTCCCAAGTATACTTTAGTAGAACTCAGAGTTTGATCTTTCATTTTAAAATCACCAAATAGGGAAAATTTAATTGAGTTGCTTTCTGTAATAAGTACGTCCATAGGTGTAATGACGATTAATCTCCATCACATAGCAGCTGCATAGTGGGCTTCAATCTGTTCTATCTAATTAGAAGAATTAAAATGGTGGTGGGGGGTGGGGGGTGGGTGGGGAACTGGGGACGAAGTCGACTACCAGTTCCAGAAAGACTTTTTGGGATAAAACAGAGGAGAGGCGAAAGAACTATAGCCAAAAAGCGCAGAACTATAATGTGGGAGATCACCAAAAGTAACTCAGAGGTCGGTGAATGGGCCATGTGAAAAAATGTTCGTCAAGTTACCTCTATTGTACTGTGACTTACAGATCCCCCAAATTTTAGCCAAATTCATTCGCATCGACCGAAACTTTTGTTTTAATGTAAAACAATAAAATCAGCGCCTATTGCCAACATTGAATCAATTGAGTAAAAGAAGAAGCAAAGCGTATTAGACGCAACCAATAAGAAATTGCTCAACCTGCAAACAGATGTTGGAGTTCACTTTGTGTTTCGACACAAAGCAGCAATTAGAAAACACGTCGGACACTATATCCTTCTTCCCTTACCAGCAGGGCAAGAACGCCCACAAGTCCGCAAAAATTGCTGAAAGTCATTGCAACGCTACTACAGTGCGTCTATTTCAATTTCGGTTTAAAAGGTTGCACTTGGCCACTAAGAATTAAAAAACTGCATGAGAAATCATGATGATGAACCAATTTTGATGATGAAGCGATGTGTTAAAATTAGTGGCTGCACTGAATAGAAGCATCCTCAAAGGAACTCGCTTTGCCATCGTCAGCTGTGCGTTTACACTTTTAGTGAACGAGTAACTTTTCATTTCGATGCCACCTCTTCAACTTTTCAGTGGAGCAAAGATGACAGGTTCATATGGTATGCTCTAAGAAAAAAAAACGATTTTTGAAAGTGACTGAAGGGGGGGGGGTTACCACTTAAGCGAATAATAAACTTCAAAGAGGTCAAGTCGTTTTTCGAAAGGGCTATTGAATATTGTTTAAAGATTATTTAGTTATTTGTAAACGGGCAAGTTTTATATTGGTTATCATTGGCCCTTCAGCTGACCTCGGGCTTCACAGAGGCGAGGAATAGGCAAAGTCAAATAAAGTCGAGGGAGGGGGGGGGGGGGGAGAAGGGTAGAGTGGTTAACAGATGTAAAAGAGACAGACAGATAGACACAAAGGTAGAGAAAAAGGTAAGGTGGGTACTGTGAAATGGTCGAATATGGCATAGAGTCGGGCCATGGTAGTTTGTAATCAGAAGACAAAGGTCGGTCAATAGGCCTTTTTGCCTTATGAGTATACATTGCCCAGGTTGCACCACGTGAAGTTAAGTCTATCACGCGCACTAACTAACAAGATTTTATTTCCAAAGAAATTGTATATTTACCGAAAGCAATACCGTATTATATTTATTGTTCCTCATGAGCAGAGAAATAGTCAACTGCGCACATGGGCACAATTTCAATAGGAAATCATATTGTGTGATGAAACCCATCCACTCTTTTGTCCTTCCTAAATCGATAAAAATGTGATCCAATTTGCTTGCTTTATTTTTGCCAACATTTTCTCTAGTATGCGGAAGAAAAGCTGGTTCAATTAGCTCGACTCTCCGAGCTGGAGGCAGAAAAGGAGGAGCAGGTTCAAAAATTAATGTGCCTTAATAAGAAATTGGATCGTCTGGGCAGACAAAATCTTCTTAAAGGAACTACGTGCGCCTACAAATGGATCATGGCTAGCTTCGGTAAGTCGACGTGATGATCACTCCCACTTAATTGCATTCAGTAGAGCAGTTTACTTAGATGGTATTCTTAACACAGGAATATCCCCCTCTGAATAAAATGCTCTGTTGTTTCGTCAAATTTTAGGTTACAGTGAGCTAACTCAAATATTTGTCAATGCATTTTTTTCCTTTATTTATGGTCATTAAATATCCTTGTTTGAATTGGGGAAGTTTGCATGTTGGCATATAAATTGAAATGAAACCAGCTTTCATTTGATTTCCTCATGTTGGCGGATTTACATTTTGTGCCCCAATCAGTTGTGACCTTCTACTTCACCCTTATCTTCGCATACTCACACTAAATTTTTAATATTTTATATTTCTATTTAAAGGTTCCTTTTCTTCTTTAGATATTTCAGATGATGAGTGTGATGAAGAAATTGACGAGTGTGTTAGTAAACGATGTGCCTTCATTTGTCAGGAGATTAAACGCCTTCAACAGCATTCTGATTGGCTAGAGGAGAATCTGAAGGCGGCAGAAACGAAATCTCTAAATCGACAGAAGATGAGTGCAATTAAAGCTGTGTTGGATAAAGGTAGACTTCAAACTAACGTGTAAGTTGGCATTACTGATGGGCACGATACAAGTTTGTTGATTAATGCAATTAAATTATCAATTGGTTCGATTTTCGCTAATAGTTTACAGAGGTCGAAGTTCGGTTTTATTTCATGCCATTTTTATTGAAACCAAGTGATGTGATTTAAAATTGTTGGACATTTTACTTTGGCCATAAGTAACTGGAGAATTAATTGAGTTCTATTCATTAACTGAGAAAAGATGATAACTAATGATTAGACCATTTAATTTTTGTTTCTTATAATTTTCTCGCTCACATCAGAATTTTCATTTAGGATGTTAAGAAATTGAAGGCAGCACTCTTGTGACTGCCAGAATGTTCGGATGTATCAGGGTGTCATGACTTTGCATCCAATTTAAGCTAACAATCACTCACCTCTGAGCATACCGCATGGCTACGAAAATTGTATCGCGAAAAATTCATTTATTTCAAATGGCAGACGTTTTGTTAGTTAACGTTAGCCATTTAGCTGACTTCAGGCCTAACAGAGGGGAGGAGCATCAAATTGGGAAAAATTCTAGAAGGGGAACAGAAGAGTGATTCACAGATGTAAAAGAGACAGACAGACAGACACAAAGGCGGAGAAAAGGTGAGGTAAGTACTGTAGAAGTAGTCGAATATGACATACAGTGGGATCATGGTTGTTCGAAGTGAGAAGTCAACTGCCAGTTTATAGACTTTTTGCCGTATGAGCAAACGTTTCCCAGGGTGCACCACATGGTGGTAAGTCTTTCCCACACCCCCATATCGCGAAACATAAGGACCATTATATTAACACAAAAACCAGCTCAATTCGGCGCAAAATTAAGGTTAGCTATTTTGACCCCTCGAGTCCTCTCATCACACTTTATTTAGTCAACTCCATTAACTATACACAAAAATGCATCTTCACTGTGTAAAAGTCCGCATTAATGGTAGAGATAATAGTGCAAACTCGGGATTTGAAGTACGCAAATAAGTAAAAAAAATAAAAATTTCTCGCCAATATGCAATAGCACATGTCGGTTGTTGATTAAAAAAATTTTTTCTCCACTATTCAGTGGGCGTGCAAGGTAAGCTTTGTGGATATTCGCACTCTACATTTTCACCATCAGACATTCTCACTGAAATATGCACTCCCGACAACCCCAATATTAACAATCATTGATTTCATCATTTGCTTTGGGGAGCCGACTTCGATTCGCCCTCTTCAATAAAATCATTTCTTATTTTCCTTCACTAAGAACTGATGTCCGACGTAGAAACAACCAAAACGCCACCAATCGACCACGTCCTATCAGCATGATAGAAACAGTGACTAAGAAGGTTACCCGTTCAGCCACAATGCCAGCAAAGGTATCTCCACGCCAGGTCGATGCCCGACGTCAAACTATGATCATTAACCGACCGACACTTTCCCAAGTGGAGCCAACAATTTCCGCCACAAAAAGACGTCTAGCCTACTCTCAGAGTCTACGAGAACGGGGCATCAACCCAAGGATGCCCTTGTCTCAACTTCAACGTGGAGCGTCCTCTAACTCCATATCTCTCTCATTCCGATCACCAACTCCCCTGATCTACACTGCTTTTCGAAGTTCAAAACACACCGCCTCCTCGTCTAGAGTACTTGATTTCGCTGACTAAATATTCGCTGTGTATAGAGATTAACTTGACAATTTTAAATAAATTTGTATTAATATGCATGTCTGAGATAAAATTCTTGCCAGAAAAAAATGGTCTTAGCATTCAAGTAGATCCTGAAGGGGGGGGGGGCGGGCGGGCGGGTGATCGCTGATATAACTTCCGATTAAACAATCATTCCAGCAAAACATCTTCAGGTCGTTTCTAAGGGCCTATACTTGTGCCTTTTTAATGACACAACGTAACACAACAATGCTCGTAGAGAAATAAATGCCAAAGAGTGCCACTACTTTCCCAAGATGAGTTAATTAGCGTATTTATTTGCTAGCAAATGTTCCATTCGGAGTTAAAAAAGCGTTTTACCATGAGGGATTATCGTAAGTAATATGAGCACGTTTCCACAATTGTAAATTACTAGTTTCGTAATGCACAGTTGTGTGCTTGGAAATTTGATCCTCTAGTGGAAAACCAATACCGCTAAGTGCTACCATGAGGTACTCTCAGCATATTTAAATTGCACACTAAAGGGTTGGTATAATTCGAGTTTCTTGCCTGAGTGGATTTGCACTATTGACCCCCCC